AATCGAATCATCCACAAAATATTCGTCAACATTGGGTGTACCGTCGATAACCTAACAAAACGAATTTACTTTTCATAGTATGGCTTCGTTCGTAACTTGGTTAAGTATTATACCGTTAGACACCGCGCACAAGCTGCAGGTATTTACGTGTTTCACGACGCGCGATCCAAGACCGGCAAACAGCAAGGAATTTAGCAAAATCTGACGTTTACGCGATCGAAACTGAAACCGACGAGCCAACGAAAATCCAAAACTACTCGGTGTTCGTTTGGTTTGCTTGGCTTTGCTTGGCTCTGCTCGCCAAACGTTCTTGTCGAACGTCGAGAGTAGATGCTTGAACGAGCTGGTCTGTTTATTGCTCTTAAGTAACCGTTTCCTGCTTGTTGTTTCGTTCGCTCGAGTTTGTCCAACAAACGCGTACTAGTACCCAACTACCAGCTATGCAGCGAACACTGGAACGCTCTATACCCACGCTATTCCTCGGACCCTCGATTCTTCCGAACACCGACCGAACGAATCGCTTTTCCAAAGAAAACACCGTCCACGGAACAAACCTCGAATTTCCATCAACCGAATCTTTCGACTGGAAAAACGAGTCCCGACATCGAGTCGTTTCGCGATATTTCGGACCGTGTACAGGCTACAACTTCGCATCCATTATTTCGAAATCTTTTGAAAGACTCTTGAAAAGAACTCTCCTTGGGGCACTGTCGCGAAAATTGCCTTGCGAAACATTGATAATACCCATAGAAAGCCTTCCAAAGCATTTCACCGACACGCATCAATATTTTCTTTCCTTTCTTCGCTCGTCTACTCGTGTCCGGTCAGACAAATTTCATTTTCAGATAACGAAACGATCCTGTTCAACGCACACAACTTTTACCCCGATGCAGACTATAAAGAGAAATATTTCGAAATTCGAACAAAGAAAAAGAGACGTTGCTTGCTCGTGATCGCATTTCGGATACGAATTACAGTCTTTTTCAAAAGCTCTGTACATACATAAATAAATGTAGATTTCTTTACGTACGTATAAACAGTTTCGAGCATCGTCCGAAACTTGAACGAAATCGTGGGTACGCGTAGTTCGTACGTGTAGCAGAGTCGTGTAAACGGAGCAACAGTACACTCGATTATCGTATATAGGACACGTTGTCGCGATTGCAACGCGACAGACCCAACAAGGACAACAAGGACAACAAACACGAGAAACGCGAGAAACACGAGAGACACAACAAACACAACAAACACACCACTACGGAATAAAAAAGAATATTCTGCTCTCTACGTGTACACATCTATGTACGGTGTATCGTTCGTCCGAGTTTAAACAAAGACGCTTCTCGTTAGTCGGTCGAGGCGTACAAACCTCTGTTAAATAGGCCGGTTCTTCCTCCGAAACGCAGCCCACCTTCTCCAAGCCTATTTCACTCCTCGTGGTTGCACAGTCCCTTTGACAATCGGAACAACCTGTTTCGACCAAGCGCGTTCTACACGTGCAATTCCCAAGACACACCGCATTCTGGATCTGACCTAACCAACACCTAACCACTCGCTACTCGCGCAAACATGTTTCGCTCGCTATCGACTTGTCCGAGAACGAAATTCCAATCACCATAATAATTCGAGTATAAACGAACAAGTATCACGGGCTAACGGCTCTGGAAATCGCACAACGTGCGCGCAAGCGCGCGTGCTCGTGTCCACGCGAATGCGAGTCCCACGTGGGCGCATGCGCGGCACGCGCGCCCTCCCGACTTGCCAAGGTACGTACCCTCGTGCCTGCACCGCGCGAGTTGTCCACGAGTCGTTGCAACGTACCGCGTACTCGAGAGCAGGGACAACGAGAGAGACTGTTCGCGGAGACTGTCTCGATTCTGCGACGCATCGCGCACTAAACACCTCAAAATCAACTTTCAATGGGCCGGTGAATCGCCAGTCGCTTGCTCGTCGACCACCCTCCATACGCGATTCAAAATAGTCTGGAAAATAGTCTAGAACGTTCACGTACGTACGCCACACGCGCACACACACACACACACACACACACACATCTATTGTATTCCTTCGAGCATCCAACAGGTTTTTAAACGATCGTTATAGTTTCAGCAATGTGTCGCGACGCGGCGCGACACGATTGCTTCCGAAATGCATCGTGACAGAGAACCACTGTCTAAATCACGAGTACGCTTGCGCGATGCGTCCCAGCCGAGTAAATAGTAAATAGTAAATAGCAAATAGTATAGAATAGTAATCTCGTTTAATGAGATATGCTTATTTTCTGCAAGCATTTCGCCTATACGACTATACGCGTACTTGCATTCTCCGTATATTCTCATCCCTCCCTTCTCATTTCTCCGTTTAGCTTCAACCAATCTAAACGACTCGATCTTTTCCAGTTTTTACAACCCTTCGGGGCCAGTGGTGTAGTATAATTCTTATGAAAATCGATCGACGATACCATCCGATTGTACGACAGACTGAGAGAACCCGAAACTCGTAGCAGTCGTCGCATTTCGTGTTTCCCATAAGAAGGGAACAGCATCGATAAGTAAGTATAATATACGTACATGCATAGATTCGTACACCACCTACTTGGCTTACCGTGTCGAAATCCGTCAAATGGCCTGTTATTTCTAATGGAGAAATCCTTGAGGAGATGTTCTAAATTCATAAGAAAATCTGAACTCTGTAGTCCTGATTCTCCAAGATCGCGAATCAAGCGACGTGCTGTACCTACCGAACAAACGGAAAGCAACGCTCGGTGATTCTCGGCAACGATAGATGTCGCCCCATGATTTCGCTCGTAGTGTAACAGAAAATAAGTACTCGCGAATCTACTTGAATTCTCTATAATCATTTCTCGTTCCAACAACGATGATAATAGTTGTCTGGAGTACCCTGAATAAGTAGAAATACGTTGCGTTACGTATAATAAACTAATACGATCAGAGATATACCCGTAACGCAATTATACCAGGAATTATTTCTGTTACTCGAGTATCCAAGCACCTACGCGTTACGTTTACCTTACGCATTCGAGCATCGTTTTCACCGATATCGATCACTTTCAACCGTCATCTTTCGTTTCGACTATTAGATGAAAAGCAAATGAGAAAATAGACAAATAGGAGAACAATGCTATATCTACGATACGGTAGGCGCTACGTAATACATACCCTTTCCTTTTGTGCCCGATTATGCTGCTGTTCGCTCGCGTATGTAACGCGCGCAAGTAGCGCGTCTATAGGAATGGAAGGATCTCTGTCGAGTTCTCCAAACACGAACATCTGTTTCGAAGCAGCAGGATGAAACTGTTACAATTCGTTATCACTCGACGCGTTGGAAAATAAAAAAAGGAGCAACAATGGAGGACGATATAGACATTTACGAAGATCTGCCAAGTTTCGGAGAGAAACTTGAGGAAAACGTGAGTATCGTGTGCTTGATAGTTCTTTCTTCGAAATTAGGTTAACTTTTCCATCGGAGAGTCATACGCGATACCTCTAGTTCGTAGTAAACCATTCGGAACACAATACTACTCCAGAATGTGCAGAATTAAAGAGACAAATTGCAAATCTTACGGTAAAACTGGAAGATTTTCGGAAGGTTAACGAAAACTTGGAGTTGAATTTGGTATCATTACTGAAAACTGCGAAAGCTGAAATTGCACGGAAGGATAAGATGATCGATAGCCTGCGAAAAGAGTATGTAACAACTTTTCTTCGTGTCGCCCGACCGACAAATATATATTAATATATACGCGCGCGCGTGTGTCTGTGTGTGTACGTGCATATAAACATTCTTTCTAACCCAATTCAATTGTTACAGACTCGATGATGTAACATTCAGAAGAGGTGGACATTTCAAAAAGAACGATCGTGTTTGTACATCCAGTTTCAGCAATACCGTTGCAACTGTTCACCGTAAAACTGTCCAAGCATCTTCGTCTGCCAGAGAAGATAAACACGGATCGTTGGAAATACATTTGTCGTACAATCTAACCAAACATTCTAACCTAAGCAAATCCACCTCCACGCCTTCTACAGTGTTCAGTGAACGATTACGTAAAAGAATTGCCGACGAACAGAACTTGGAAAGAAGAGAAAAGCAGTCGAGCAGATTCACAGAGAAATCCAAGGTTCCGACCACCGAGGGTTACATCACTGAAAGCGACAAAGAGAATGGCTCTCTGGCGAATACAGATTCTTCGAGTACGAGAGGAATGCAATCATCGTCCACGGTAACGCGATATTCTGAAACTGACCGATTTACCGTAACACATTTTCCAGCGGATCAAGAGAAGAGAGACCAGGGGAATTCTGTCGCAAACATTCCACAAAAGAGAGCAAACGACGAAACCTACAGGTCTGGCTGCTTAAAACGGTTTAAATCCGAGGAGAAAGAACATACGTCGAGATCAAATAATAAAGAAATATGCGAGAATGTCGTACAGTTATCCGATATAGAATCCGAACGGCGACGCACGACACATTTCGATTCCGAACAAACTCGTTGCACGTTAGCTCAAGAAGAGAAGAGGCACAGTTATCTTCCGTTCGTCGAATCTGCTGGTAAAACAGGTCAGAGAGACACAGGCGAGCGTACCTCGAAACGGAATTGCAAATCCGTCGTCTCAACGATCGCGCCGGAAGAGAAACATGCGAGTCACGGTTATCGTCCCAGTATCGCCGAGCATCGTCGAATTAAACGCAGGGAAGATTGTCGCGCGAATGAAACGCGGGAGGATCGTCGATCGCGTGGAAGGCAACCTTCGTGCGAGAATTATCGGGAGGAGAAATACATTAGAAGCAAATACAAATACGCGGGTTGCGAGGAGAAATCGGAAAGGCGTCACGACGGCCGCAGCAGTACCGGTGGCACGGTTAAATCGACGACGGTGAGAAAGGAATCCCGCAACTCGCAAAACGCCGCGGAACAACCCACCAGTGAACAAAATTCAACTTGTAACGCGCAGCTGTTGGATCATTGCGACGATTACGGATGTCGAGTAAAAGACCGACCGAGAAGTTCCGACAAAACGACGCGCCGAGACAACAGGCGAGACGAGTGTAACGAGTATTCTTCGCATCGGAAATCCGTTCGAAAAAAGTTTCCCGAACACGGTCGACAATCGGAAGCATCAAAATCGGAAAAGCTCGTCGAAACGAACGAGTCTGTCGAGAGGATCGATCGACGGAAACTTACGGAGAACGGCAAAGCTCCTGTAACGAAACTCCTGCTCGACGATTCCTCGGAGAAATTAATCGATCGGAAGAAAGATTTGGAATGTTCGAAAATCGACGTGGACCAAGTCACGAATGAACCGACCAGTAACACCGACGACTGTTCGACCAGCAAGGAGAAAAGCTGCGAAAATGCTGGTGACAAAGCGAAAGAGTCGACGCACTGTTCAACGGCAACAGACGCGAGTGCCGCATGTCTTGCGACTGTAGCGTCACTGGACGAACAATCGAGCGAACTTGTCGAAAATGTCGAAAACAACGAGACCATAGAAAATGTTGAGAACATTGAGAAATTCATTCGCAATTACACCTCCGATAACGATCCTCGGAAAAAGAATCTGGACGAAAGAGACGCAGCATCGAACGATTACGTAAACGAATACAAATCGATAAAGAACGATGTTATCGAGGACGAAACGATCTTGGAAGATCAGCAACGCGACGCGGTCCGTCGAGACGGGACGGAACGAGAAGCAGACGCAAAGCTCCGCGCAATTGAATCGGGAGTCATGTTTCAACAGCTTCTCGAGGACTCGGATCGAACGGGTCAGACTGAAACTGCCGAAACGACGACTGCAGTGACGGAATCTGCGAAAAATGTAAACGATTTAGCGGTAGACGGTAATTGCGCCGCCCAAAGATCCGTTAGTGCATTAGAAAGTAATTATTCCAATGATTTCGCGGCCAACGGAAGATCGGCGAGTTTCGGAACGGGAACTATATCGGTGAGTTCGGATAGTTCCGCGACAGATAACATTCCTCCAAGCATACCCTTTCAATTTCCCGAAGAAAACCATAACGATAATGGCGGTGATAAGGACAAGGTTAAAAGTAACGACGAAAGTTGCTTTACAAGCGTTCTCAAAGATTCCGATGCCGATAAAGTTAATGGTAATTCTACTTACGATATTCATTATATCGATAAGGACGAGGATGAAGATAAGGATAACGATAACATCGGTGTTCGCCGAGATGATATTGAAAATAATTGTCCGAACGTTACGAAGAAAGATCAAACGAACGAACGAGAGAACAGCGAAAATCTTTCAGCCAAGTTGAACGAACAAGTCGAGAATGAAAAAGAGAAGGCGCTCGATAAAAGTACGACGGAAAAAGGACTACACGAGTCGAACAAGTCGGCCGTTAATAACGGTACAAACGCAAAAGCCGCGTCGATGAACGTTCACGGGAAAATAGTCGTTTTTGCGCGACGCAAGAAACCTGTGTGTTTAGCAAACAATAACGCAAACATGACTGTCCTTATAAATAACTGCCATAGCCCCAATACGAACTGATCGGGGACCGACTATACCCTCGCCGTGTAATTTCCAACAAGTCGAAGCATCGAACGTACAAGTGTGTTCTCGCTGTATAAAACACTGTAAATAGAATATGTACATATGTCCAGCTTTCTTTCACATTTCATTTCGAATAGGACGAGAACGAGAACCTTCGACGCGTATTTGACAAATGAGAAATGCGATCAGGTTACGTTTCCGATCTGTTGGACATTTACTTAACCATTTCCTTCAAATAAATATCATGAAATAAGTTTACCTATGTTTTGAATTTATTACCGAAGCAGGGAATTTCGATGAATTTCGAAAGCAACGTTGCAATTAGAAATTCAAGTAGCTTTGCGTATTACGATTTCAATCCCAATACCTCCACCAATTATGTTACGGGACGGAAGGTAATCTGCGGCGACGCGACACACAGAGCTTCTTAGCGTCGCACGCGCTCTGCGCTGTCGCAGTCGGAATAGACCGAGCAAAACCGAGGGCTACAGAGAAAGAAGGAAAGAGAGAGATGGGGATGGGG